CTTTCACGTAAGAAGTGATATCTTCGTCAGGGGTAGGAATTATTATTTCTTTTTCACCCCAATTGCAATCCTTCTTTAGCTGATCGAGGTGCTTCTCGGTTATCGAACACATGCACCTCGATACCGGCTCACACCGGCCAGGGACCGATGAAACTTTATCAACCTTAAAATCTAAAGTAAGGACACATGCCCCGGGAACACACTCCTCAGGCCGTGGTTCTGCCGGTGTCTCATCGGTGACACACTGTGAAGATGAAGCCTTCTCTTTCTGAGGAATGGTTTGCGATGTTTTCGCCATTTTTGAATTCAAAGGTAAGGAATAGAAGAAAGTGACAAAGATTTGGTAGAATTGAAGAGGGGTTTTTGCAGAAAGAAATCACAGATTTACTGGTAAGTTGGAGAGTACGAAGAAGAACTTGAAAAATTTGGAAGATAGAAGATGTAAAAGTGGTAAAAGATAAAAGTAAGGGTTATTTATAGGTTCAAGCGATGGCAGTTCAGTATCAGCAGTGGCCGACCACCGCCTGACATGCATTAAATGCCTTGAAAGACTAAACCGACGGGACAACTACCAGATGCGTCATGGTCGAACCTGATGGAAACGACAGGATATAATCCGATCGAGCTGTTAAAAAAAATCATATTGTTTCTCGCCACATTCTTTCTGAGAAACGAGGGGACTATCGGTCGAAATAGATTTCGGTCTTGGCACGTCCGATCGAGTTCGAACGGTGATTTATCGAAGTAAGATCCCGAAGGGGGAACAAACTAACCTCAAACCCGGGGAGGCCGATCCGTGTCGAGTTCGATATCATTATCAAGCTCGAATCAAAATCGAACCATGATGCAGAGTAGACCTATCATGCTGATAATCTAGAGACCAACCAACATTGACCTCGAATCAATTCGAGGGCTCGAACCAAGATCACAAGTTCGAGCCGAAATCAAGCTCAAACCAAAATCGAGGGTTCTAAGCAAGATCGAGCTCGCAGACAAAAGCCGTTGCAATCCCACTAGAGAGAATCTTGGCAGAAATTATGAAAAAGCTGACTTATCATGGGTCTCCCACTGAATGTTTATTTTATTATGCCTTAAAGCCAAATCCCTCCACTATAAAAGGGCTTGGTTATCATTTCTGTAGTACAAGTTTTTTCTGAGGCTTACATTGTAATAAAAGTGTTATATTCTTCTACAGTAAAAAATCGCTCTTTCAGACTCCTTAGATTGATTCTATTTGTTGAATCCTAAGATTCATTGTTCCTGATAACCTTATCTATTTTGCATTCTCTCCAATCTATATTTACATTTTTATTTATTCTTGCATTTTGTATTAAGTTACGCCACATATCCTCGGAACCGCATATAAATTCAACTCTATCCATTTTTCGGGTAAACAATGAGTACACCCCATGAGGCCATGACTACTAGAGAAAAATAACAGACAAAAATAACTACTCCTTCTCATACCTAATAAGTGACTTTTTAGTATTTAACATATCCCGGACTCCTAGAAAAAAGAAGAAGATGTATTCACTTAATTGTCCTTAATTAATTGTTATCTTGACACATTGAGATATGTAAATAAGGGCAAATTTTTAAAAAATAAAATTAATTTTTTATTGATTATGTAAAATGACACTTATTTTGCACCAAAATAAAAAAGGCCAAGAAGTCACTTATTATTGACCGGAAGGAGTACTAATCAATTGTTTAGCTTGTTAACTAATATATTCAACATCTTATGTGAGAAATAATTATGCGAAAAATTGTTGAAATTTAATACTCCTAAGATAAACTTGGGGATGAATTTTTGTCAAATGTAAATTGTTACTCTATGGTTTTGAGACTCCACTCCTCCAACTGTTAGATAATCACTCCACAATGGTATTTTTTCCTTATTTTTTTCAATATTTCTTGTAGAAGAAGAATAAACAGAATTGACTTTCCCTACAACAAGAAACCAGAATAACTTGTTCGTCAAACTACAGAGATACCTACTATACTTAATTCTAGCACAAAACCGCAGCCGATAGAGATACGTAACCATAGTCTAGAAACGGTGAAGCGCTAGAAATTCAAGAGACAATTGGGACGATGTGTTTCTTCAAAGGAAGTTTTCTCAACAACATGAAAACGCTCAAAACCTTTGGAAAAACCATGCAGTTTAACAGAAACCTCTCAACTTCTTCTTCTTCTTTTTTTGTATTTAAACCCATGCAACAATTACACAACAATTCTCATACCATAATCCCTTTACCTGTGTCCTCCAATTTCCGCAACTTCAGCACTGATACTGATTACAAACTCCCGACACCTATAAACTTAGGTATCCACTTTGTTCCCCAACAGACAGCCTATGTAGTCGAACGCCTAGGTCAGTATACGACAACACTGAATCCAGGCCTTAATTATTTGATCCCATTCGTCGATAAGGTCCAATACGTACACTCGTTAAAGGAGCAGGCAATTCTGATTTCGAAACAAACTGGAATTACAAAAGACAATGTTCCAATTGAAATGGATGGTGTGTTTTACATCAGAATTGTTGATCATGTTTTAGCTTCTTATGGAGCAGACGACCCTATTTACGCTGTGGTCCAGTTAGCACAAACTACAATGAGGAGTGAACTCGGGAAAATTACACTTGATAAGACTTTTGAAGAGCGAGTTGAGTTGAATAGAAACATACTTAAGGCTATTAATGATCGGCCATTACGTACTGATTGGGGAATAGAGTGTTTAAGGTATGAGATTAAAGATATAACACCGCCAAAAGGTGTTAAAGTGGCTATGGAGAGACAAGCTGAAGCAGAGAGGAAAAAAAGGGCTCAAGTACTAGTTTCCGAAGGGCAACGACAAGCGGATGTTAATGTTGCAGATGGGAAGAAAATGGCTGTGATTTTGGAATCTGAGGCTGCTAAAAAAGATCAAGTGAATAGGGCTAAAGGAGAAGCTGATGCTATTTTTGCTAATGCTCAAGCGACGGCTCCAGCAATTTCTGAGGTGTCAAGAGCAATTCTTGAAAATGGAGGCGCTGATGCTACTAGTTTGAGGGTTGCTGAGCAGTATGTTGAAGCGTTTGAGAAGATAAATAAGGTTGGAACTGTAATGTTGATTCCTGAAGATGCTGGTGATACTGCTAGCTTAATTTCTCAAGCAGTTACTATACACAATAAACTTTCTACCAGTAAATAGTAGTAGCGGTAGTAGTAGTACTATCAATTTTATTTTGGGAGTGGGGTTTTACATTATTGTCAAAAGTATTTCAATGCATTTTAGTAGTATAGGATTTTTTTATCTCACAAGTATCTTATTAGTTTTGAATTTCAGACTATTATAGTGCTAGTGATTATTGCATCAGTAAAGATTCTAAACATATATGTTAGGTAAATCATTCCAGTTACTATGCACCTTCGAATGAAACAGAGTAGTTTTCTATTTTGTCTCTTTTCCTCTGTTTGATTTGGAAGAATAGAGAGAAAACTAGAGCCTCGTTCACTTTTTACTCTTAGCCTCAAGATGCTATGTTGTTCTTAGGCTAAACTAGCAAGGAGAATTGGCAAAAGAATAAGGCTAATATATCATAATAAAACTAGATAAAATCTCCAACGCAGTTGACACATAATCTGAGTTACATGATCACCAAAATGCTTGCATTAATAAACTTTTAAATAAGTAGCAATTTTATGAACTCTAAATTGAACACAACTCTGTAAATAACTATAGTGGTCCTGTAAAGTGGCGGAGATACCATTTGAAAGGGGAGTCGCTCAACACCACTTTATAACATTCTTTTCTTATGTATGTGTGGATTTATGTTTCCTAAAAGAGAATTTGTATATTTTCCTAAAATACTTTGGTTGAGAATAACACATTATAAATATTAATTTGAGACATGAAGTAAAGTCCTAAACCATCATACATAGTCCTAGACACTTACAAGTCGAATTGTGGCAATATACTGACGTGTTTGGATAAAATCTTGCATACATCACTGGTACAACGGAGTCATGACGATCTAGCACGAGCAAACAAGAGTAACCACAAAGACAACAGCTGCTGTAATAAAATGTTTGCCAATCTGGGGCGGAGAAGCATTAATTTTGGCTGATGAAAAAGAAGAAGGTGCAGGAGAAGTTGGCAAAGGTTGTTGTTCAACATTTATAGCTAATTTCATTCCATGGAAGCAGTAACCTCCACTGCTGATAAAGTAATAAGGTCTTGCCTGAGTTAGCTGATAAACATCTCGCCCACCCCTTGTAATGTTTGTTATAAAATCGCGATCAATGCACTGCTCATAGTTCGTTTGGTTCACCTCCAGCACGCTGTAAAGATGCTTGTCAAATACATAATCTGAAACGAAACCCACAATTAGCTTCAAACATTTGGGGGTAATTAATTCAAGCTTATATCTTCTTCTTCTTCTTCTTTTAAAAAGAAACTTTAAAATGTTAACGTTATAAGAGAACCTACAGTAATAGAAGATTCAATCCACCATTTTCTACTTACATGATACATCATCGATATTGTAGTATGTGAAAAATCCTGAAAAGCCGTACTAGTATAACATAAAATTATGTTTTTTAACCCATAAAACTCAAAACCTTAACCCATAAATTTTAATTTTGAATCCGCCTTTAGTTTACATGAAATTCATCCTCTCAATATTCAAATGCATTTCAAGATGTAATGTTTCGCCTTCCTAACACAAGGAAAATCTTATGTTCTATAACACCTTTTTAGTTTTTGAATTTCTAAATTGTAATTTTGCAAAACAAAAATAAAAAAATCACCAATATCAGATTTTGTTCCAACATTGTCAAACTAGTTTTTTTTAAGACCAGTGAAATATATCAAACAAAATTGCAACGAAGGAGTTTAGCTTCACAATATATATATTTTTTTCTACTATCAACTTATCACCTAAAAAGATAACGAATAGTAACTTTTCATTAAAAATCTGAAAAATAAGACAGGTTATTTGTCAAAACATGCTAATATAAAATAGTGAAAAAATTCAGTACACCATTATGATATATAAGTTAAATCCAAATAAAATATAGTTGAATTGAGTGTGTGAGAGAGTGAGAGGAAGGTTAAGGTCACTGACAAAGCCAATCTCCCACGTAAAAATGGCGATGAACCGCCCAATCAGTGTAGTTAACATTCTGTGTCCAGCCATATTTGCCGCCCACCTTATCAAGCCCACTGGCCGCCCACTTTATCATTCCCAATAACATCGTCAGCAGTATCACCCCCTCTGTTCTCATTATCCCAAATTAAAACACTTGCTTTTCTCTCTTCTTTTGCGGATGCTGAACTTGGAATTTGATTAAGGGGCAAATAGAAAAGAAGATGACCAATCTTGGTAGCAACAATATATTGCTATGAACCAATATAATTCTCATGTATAGCAGGAGAATTGTGTAAGGAACTTGCATAGTGCATGTTGAAAGTGGAATACGGACATACAGGACTGCGTGAGTCAACATGCAAACCAAATGACCAGTTTGATGATTTTCCGGACTGATCTGGGTATATGCCACCAGAAATAAATGGGTAAAAAAGTGCATAGTTTTGTCTCCTTTTTCGGTTCGTCCATTTGGGGCTTTTTGAAGCATTTCTCTCTTGTGGCATGTGCCTCACCCTGCTCATTTGTTCATGTTATTGCACAAAGGCAAAAACTTATCCATTGTTTACTCCGAATCCTACTAAATTTACCATGATTAAGGAGAGAATGTATATTATTTAACTATGATTTAATGATAACCATGATTGTAAAGACATATGTCAATCTATTTATTGATTTGATATTAACACCCGACGAATAAGTTTTTACCAAATGACTTTCTGCGCTAGTGGTGGGACGCAGAGACGGATCCAGGATTTGAGACTTATGAGTTCCTACCGTAATTTCAAATTAATATGTAATAATATCTGGGTTCACAGTTAGATATTTATAAATATTTAGTGAATTTCTTAATATAAATACAGGGTCTACGCAAAAGCTATTGGGTTCCCGGAAACCCGTAGTCAATGCTCTAGGTCCGCCCCTGGTGGGACGACACGCAATTCACATGGATAAACTTTAAGATCACTAAACTTTGAAGTTTGAACTGGTAATATTAAGGTTGGTATTCATAAAAGACTTACAAGCCTGACGAGCATCAAAATTCGGGTCTTTACTCCTAAGTCCTAACACAATAAGGTTCTGTGACAGCTTAATGTAAGCATTGGTTAATAGCAACGACGTATGTGCGCACAAGATCTTTCGTTCGAAATTGTAATGGAGACCTAAACTACAGTAATTGGTTTTTGATCATATTACTAACATTTGATTAAGACAAACACCCAACCATACGTATATCCATAATTTACTTGTACAAAATCATCAAGTCACATGCCTCGGGGTCCACCATTGGCCTTGCCAGAGAGGATTTGATAATGAACCCATTAACCCAACCCACGCTCCTTATTTCCCTCTTTTAGTTAGACAGCAAAATGATCAGAATCTATCATGTGAACTCTTAAAATGCAGACAAACTTTTCACAACAACATTGCAGAGGACCACCATGTAAAGATATCACTACATTTCAAAATGAGACCTTTTATATACATTTGAAATTTAGATGACTTGGGAAATACTGTATCTCTTTGTAGAGAAGGGAGAGGGGGGGAGCTGGCTATCCAAATTCGAGCCTCAAATAATCGAGACAGCAACTTCCAACAAATTAATGATTGATAAAATAATTAAGAGAGGTACTACAATTGACACGGATTAAGAGACCAATGCATTCATTCAAAACCAGTAACATGAAAGACCTCCGTGATCCACGCAATCAATTTCTCCGAAGAAATATTTGGTACAGTTGTTTAGGTAAAACATAAATAAACAAATTTTTCAAATGAACCCCACCAATTTGATCTGAAATAAAAAATTGATTTTCAGGTCAAATGATGATGGCAGTAGCGAAAAGAAAAATGGTAACTTTCAAGAAAAAAGAAAATACAAACACACGCAAGACAAAACTAAAACACTTTCTTGACACTTTAGTTTAACTAATTGTCTTAACCATCCAACGTTTTTGGACAATTGACCATCCTCCTACCAGAGTCGAAGAAATGCATTCCACACAGCAGAAGTTGCAAAAAGAGCTGGTACCAGTATTTGCCCTGTAAAAGAGGTGAGCACATTTGTTGAACCGCTGCGTACTTGAGCGGCTTTTGGTGGTGGAGGTGCTTTTTCCACATGAATAGCCACTTTCATGCCTCCGTAGCAGAATCCTCCACTACTAGCGAAATAGTAGGTCTTCGTCACATTAAGTGGAACCACGTCCCTTCCTGCTCCAGTGGTGTAATTGTGGAGAGGATGATCTGTAATGCAGTTCTCGTAGTTGGTCTTGTTTAGCTCAAGCACACTCGCCTGGTTCCTGTCATAGACAAAATCTGGGATGGCAGAGAAAGAGTTAATGAGCAGCAATGAGTAGCAGCATATATCTCTGTATTCGAGAAAACAAAGCTTCATATGCATATGGCATGATTATGTAGATAGCCGTTTGTGCTAATTTGTAATGTGTCTTGCAGTTAATTATGCAACGAGATGAACATAACAGTCAGCAAACACTATACATGTATATGCATAAATACATACATGTATATAGTTGAAGCTGTTTCAAAGCGACACGAGAAGTATTGTGACTTGCCAAATTACACGTTACTTGCCAAATTAGATTAGGAAACTTCGTGTGCTTGTCCAGAATTAGCTGGTAACCAACACTGTCACAAACAACTTTGTCCCTACAAACAACTGGATGATTCTGGACTGGATCAGGCATGAGGGTGACATCTAAGCATGTGGCTGGAATTATTGTCTTATCCACTGACATATTCCTCTCTAGATTTAGCTATAATGTCCTACCAAACTCATTATCTCAAGCATTTAATTGTTGTAAAATGTAAATTGGCTTAAAAAATTAAAATGTGAGCATCAGTAGTAACTTGAACCTCACAACCAATCAAGACTGTTCGACTGAAGCTTGAGTATAAAGATTGAATTTTACAGACACCTAAAGCTCAAAACAAGTTTTCAACGCTCCGGCTTGCATAACAACCTATCTGTATGTGTTAATGCAATTTAGAAAAGAGAAAAAGTTTGAGATCAGCGGTGAAGTTGCTAAATTATTTCTACAGTTACACAAAACCAAGGAAATCAAAAATCACGAGTCGAATGGGAATTCTAATGATATTGCAACTATATCAAAGAATACCAAGTAACTTGAACTGGATGCTTTCTTTAATTGTAAAACTGTTGGGATATTTCTGCGACTTATATTCTAGACTAACCCCAAATAAGAAAAGGGCAACAGCAATACAAATTAAACACTGCTATTTTTATGATAAATATAATGCCTATCGCTCGAGAAGTTGCTCATTTGTCCAAAGCTAATAACAGTTATAAAAAGGAAAGCTTCAAACTTTCAGCTCAGAAAGTTCCCAGCTGGAAACTCCTAATCTCTTATAATTCAAATTAGGTAAAAAAGTGTAGAAGGCATTGAAAATGCAAGCTAAAACCATAGATCTGAACGACAGAAAAGATTGCTAACTTTTTTAGAGTAACAAAATAATACACCCAGAAAACAAGCGCAAATAGGGGTAAACTAAAGCGCTTCAAGAGAAAACTAAAGCTCCAAGCTCCGATTGGAGAAACAAAATTCTAGTCATAAAATTACTAAAAATATAAATTTATACTAAATTCGAACCGAAGAAGCACTTCCTATATTTAAGATCCGCCACTAGCTCTACTAATTGCTAATTAAGGAAACATTATTAGAAGCGAGCTACGGACAAAGATATCTAAAAAAGGAGCTAAAAAGGAGTAGATCCAAGGGGAAAAAGAGCATACAAAGCCAGTCGCCGTTGTAGAAATGTTTGTCCTTAGCCCAATTAGTGTAATTGACATTGCCAGTCCATCCCATTCTCGATCCCACAATGTACCGAACCGAGTAGACTTCAGGTACCATCACCAACAAGGCGCATGTTAGCAACACCGCCATTGTCGGCCAACCGAAGCTCCTCCTTCCCACCACCTCCATTGCTACAGTAGTACTCGCACACTCTAGAGTTTCTTAGCTAAGCTGTATTTTTTTAAGTGTTTTTTTTGGAAATATTGAAGACTTATTTATAGTGGAAAGTGGAAACTGTAAAATGTAAATCTCTCTTATGTTTTAGTAATAAAAATAAAATAATAGGAGTATAAGAGAACATGGGATTAATTAATGAAGTGGAGTAACATATACAAAGTCCAAGGCAATGTTCAAACTTACAGCTCATTTGTTAGTGGAACCCGTAGGATACGCCTTACTTTACCTTCCAACTGCATGTTATCCATTATTATTACTACCTTTTAAATAAAAATACCACACATTTTTACAAATAAGTTCGCTTGAACATTAACTACGATCAAGCTTAAAGAACAACTCAATGCACAAAGTATTCCGTATTCACATATAATCCGAATAAGGATCGCACCCCAAGTTTGAGATATAAAAGTAATGGATAATTTGTTGCAAAAATAAATTACCGTATTGAACATATAAACTATCAGAAGATGAAATTAATCAAAAATGGATAACTAACTTGTTGCAATAATAAATTACCGTATTAAATATATAAACTACCAGTAGATGAAATTAATCAAAAATGGATAAATAACTTGTTGCAATAATAAGTTCTTATTGAATATATAAACTACCTGTAGATGAAACTAAATCGAAAATGGATAGCTAGCTTACCGTACTAAACATATAAACTACCAGTAGATGAAATTAAATCTTTAGTTAATTTGGGAAGATAGCGCTTAACAGAATGGAATCACTTCTCCTAACAAACTTTAGCTGTGTGGCTAATGAATTTTTTTTAAAAGTTTATTTAAATTTTCCAAGTAACTAAAAAATAATATATTAAATTAAATTATACTCAATGATAATATAACTATTTTGTATTGGTATAAGTTAACTTGTTATAACATATTAAATATTTATTTTTTAAATTACCAACAGAAACTTGTTGTTGAGATTCATCCATAGTAGACTTTATAGAAACATGATGGTATTAACAGTTTATATGATTAGCAGATAAAATTTAACTTATTATTAAAGTATTTAGAACCTAGATGGTTCTTCGCAGATGTTTCTTTCTATATATCTGTCTCTATCCCATTAAATGTAAAAAATAGCAAATGTGGTTCTTTTTCCTTCACAAATAAAAAAGGATCAAATATAATTTTAATTGGTTGACCGCATACGCTTGTTAAAAATTGTATATATATAGAGAGAGATTATTTCCATTAGTTTTAGGAAACGGATATTTCTTGTACAACCTATTTATTTCTAAATATGAGCGTTGCTGATACGTTTGAGATTGATTCCTGCTCTTAAAAAAATCTAAGCAAGAAATCAAGAATTTCTCAACAAACGTATCCAGCTNCAGTGGTAGTTCAATTATAACAAAGAAATATTGTATAAAACAGGAACTAAAGCGAAACGCATTGTTGATGGGAGGGGATATAAAAAGCTATTCACAATCTATCTTGAAACCTATCATCAAATCAGAGTTAACTTTTGAGATATTGTTTGGAAACGGAATGATCATTCTTCTTAAGTAATTACCACGGTGACACTTATTTCAAGGCCTTGAGTTCATCTTCTAACAGCATAGTTCCTACTGCCCTTAAAGACACTGGCTATTTGGACAGAAGATTTCACAGAGTTATGCTGATGTTTTTGGTCTAAGGAAGGGACTCGATAAAGCAAAGATCGAGGCCACTTAGGGGATTCAAGGATTTGCAAATATATAAAATGTCAACAAGAATAGCCATGGAAAGCAATATAATTTCCAGTGCCTAATCTCAAGCTAGCTCTAATGACACAGAACTTTAAAGAACACATACCTGCAAGCAAATAGTGTCACAAACTGCTGTAGATCCAAAATTACCATCGTCGCCTTCCTTTACTAATCTTGGGAGGAGATTCTTGAAATACATCTCCCATATTTTGACATTGATATTTATGGAATCAGCAATTGAATGCAAAACCTTTATAAATAAATAAAATGGTTTACTCATGAGAGGATGGCCTGAATAAGAGTAGTAAATTGATGAAAATAGTAAGGAAATAATACACAAATTATGATCCTACAATCGAAACAAAAAAATCCAAGTCTAGGACAGCTGTATAGGTCCTTTCAATTAACAGGAACCAACACGGAGCCTACACAGAGGACAGAGAAAGCATCCATTTCTGGGTATGTCCGTGCAGTCTGTACATAAGTAGAAAGGAAAGAAATTTCTCTAGATTTTCACAGCATATATTAGCATCAAGTGCATCATTGTAGATATCTATTGTCTGATGATTACACCTCTTTGTATATGAATTATCAAATTCCATATCGAAAAAACAGCACATCAGATTGCGACGAATACTACACCTTTGGGAACTGCATGGGTGGCAACATTGGCTCAGGTAATTCTTTAGGGAAGAATGGGTGCTCATCAGGGCTTTTATACCTTCCAACCTATAAAGCTGTCAATCAGAAAAATATGCAAATAAAAGAGATACTCCTGTACATGCATGCTTAGAATGAGAATACCTTAGCATGAAGCTTTTCAGTTTCTTTGACAATATATTCAACCAAAGAGCCATGGAACCCATCCATCACAAAAACATCAGGATCATACGTCTCTGCATTGTAACAGTACTGAGCTCTCTCTACAAGGCTGAATATTATGCTATCTTCTTGTCGAATTAAAGAGTTCCTTATACCATCAAGAGTGTAACTTTCCGTCTCATCTATTCTATTCTTTGGCCCAAGTCTGGAAACAAAGCAAGAAACATCACAATACTTATTTCCTGAGTTGTAAGCAAAGCATTAAAGCTGTTTAATATGAAATTAGGCAATGCCCACCCATGTCCATCTCACCACACTACAAAAAGGCATTTCTTAAAGATGCCAGACACAATGCCACAATCTCATTCAGCACGGTGCAGCCTAGAGATGAGCAGAATGGAGATTTTCACTGTTGTCCTCAAATATGCTACGATATTTTCATTTAGCTTAAAGGAGATATCTTCATTAAATCTTTTCTTTAATAACCGCGTTGTCTGGGCTAGCTTGCGCGGGCTTTGACTAATTCTACAGGATACTTGCTACCTCCCACCAGCAACAGGTACCAGGTAACTCTGTCTAGCAAGACTTGATCAGATTGGAAGAAATCACCTAGTTTTTTGCCTCCGGTGGGATTTGAACCTGGACCTTATGTTCTCAACCTATTTCATTGACCACTAGGACACACCTTTGGATGCAATATTTTCATTAAATCTTCTGAAGGTGCTTGAAAGTCTTTTTACTTATCGCATAATCGACCCTGCTACTTGCAAGCCTTGACATTCGGATGAAAGGAATATCATCTTAATAAAAGCCTGACTCTTATAAATTTGAGATGCCTGATTGTTTCAATTTCCCTAGTAGACAGTATGACTTTTATTCCTGGCGGCAACTTGGATCTTATGTTCCTTAGATATCCAGCTTATCTGCCACATTCAATATCATTTTCATCTTCCTCCGTTATTATTTATGTTTTTAACAACCTATAATTGGAAAAACTTAGTGATCCGAAGGCTGAAAGCCATTTAGATGTCTTATAATTCTAATGTTTACCACTATGTGCCCCAAAGGCTCCAACAATTAGGCACGCAAGTTTGAGCCATGTCTCCAGCATGCTGTGTATTTCCAAGAAAACACACAAACAAATAGGAAACGGTTGACTACATCACAGAATAAGCCTGATAATGATTCAAAAGTTTCATATTCACTGGGGACTTTTCTTGCATTGCTAATCTAGATAACATAAATTATTAAGAAGGCTCAATGAATTGGGATTTCTCTATTGGTCCAGGTCATTTCGGGGAAAGTGGATCATCATCTGCTCTCCTCTATTACTTCAAACCATTCCTACCAATTGCAGCAAAACAATGGCAATAGTAGAAATGGTGGTCAAACTTATAAGGGCAAGTCTTGATTGAGCAATCATAAACGTGATTATAAACACTTTAAAATCAAATTTTAAGAATGACTCATGAAACAATTGGCATATTGCGCCAAAACTCACGAATTATAATGGAACACTGACACATGGACGAAACAGAAATGTCAGTGCAAAGCATAACCTAAGAAGGGAAAAAGGAAGTGAATATCCCAATTCAGTAGCATAAAAGTTTAGATTCCATTGTAAGCAAATTTCAACTCCCTAATGTGAAATAACCTTACAAAACTAAGCAATCATCAAGGTATTTGCAAAATAGCAGAACCCAGAACTTAAATTCACTGTGGCATTAACCTAAACACATTGTAGAGCATGTAAAGATTGAATTATTCAAGAACGTGTTCCTCTAAACTGTACATGATCCTTCAAATAATAAAGTTGAACTGGATGTTAAGAATAAAAATTGAAGCTTTATCAAGGTAATTTGATATGGGAAGCTTGCAAAAAGCAGAACCCAGAAATTAAAATTCACTGAGGCATTAACCTAAACACATGCAAAGCTAATAAAGATTGAATATTTCAAGAACGCATTCCTATAAAGTACACATGATGCTTCAAAAATAAAAGTAGAATAGGAAGTTAAAGGAGTAAAGATTGTAGCTTTTTTACCCAAGAGAAGTAGCAGAAGCTTGAAGGGGGCGAATAGTAATGGTACTACCTGAATTGGGTAATTGAAACTTACAAAAATTTGACCATTTTTGACGGGCTAAAAGGTTACTGTGTTTTGAAGAATTGGTACTTGTTAAGGAAGGAGAAGGGAGTTTTAACAATTGGGCTTCCATTACAAAGAGTGGAAGTGAGGAAAGAGGAGAGGGAGAAGAGGGAAGATAGGTGGATTTGGCTGCGAATGGCGTTTGGTTAAGGCAAGTAAAGTAGTTAAAAGAGCCCCTTTGAATTGTGGGTTTTTTGAAGAGTTAGGTGAGTTTTATTTGGCTGTACGTGAGATTGTGGGGTCCAGTGGGTTTGGTGTGGTGGTAGGTGTCTGACGCGATATTCTCCTACTACCTGGTTTGGTATTTTGAATAAAAAGTTTGCAACCGTTTAAAATTTTGAAGAAAAAAAAAAATGTTCTGAAAATTTTTGGTACGTTTTGGAAAAATCTAAGTTGATATTGCTTTAATTTTTGAAAACATTTTGCTCTGATGTAGGAAAGTTAAATTATTTTTTAAACAGATTGTCTTTTAAAAGTTTTTCTGATAATTTATTTGGCCAACTCTAAATTAGAAGTGGTTTTTCCAGAAAAATATTTGTTTTAGAGAATTAAAGATTTTGGTCAAGTTCTTAGAAAAAAAATACATTATCCTAATTAGCAGCAGAAATAGATTAAATTTTAGAGAAAAAACTATCCAACATTAAAAAAATAAAAGGCTGAAATTATCTCCCTATATACATTCAAATCCATTAGGATGAGATTAACTCGAAGTAGATAGTTTTGGAAACTTAGACAAGAGGGTGCCAAATCGGAAAGTCATAACTGTAAATTTATTCGATACGGTTCGATAGTTTTTCGGTTTATTTTTATAAAATAAAAAAATATATCCTAATTATTGGTACGATTATAAATTTATATAAAAACCTACGGTTTTATTAAAACAAACCTAAAAATCAGTTTGGCACGGTACAGTTCTATCGGTTTAGTCGATTTTTAAATATCCATTTACACCCCTAATCATTACTAACTGAGGAAAATAGCAGTATTAGACTCATTCTTTAACGGCAGGGTCATTAGTGGGCTCAAATTTAAACGAGGGTTATAATTGATCCATTTCGAATAACACAAGGGCATTATTAGACTCATTCTATAACGGCATGGTCATTTGTGAACTCAAGTTTAAACGGGGGTTATAATTGATCCATTTCAAATAACACAAAGGTCGTTTTTGGGCCTTTTCCCTAACTAATACTACTGCTTTTTGATTGAGCTTTCTACTCTCCGTTGAAAAATAAAAAAACAAATTTTTTTCTCTCTAAATTGTGAACAAGGTAATTTTCAAAAACTACTTCTCCACTATTCCACCACTGTCACCAACTCTCAATAAACGGCAGCGGAAATTTCACTATGTGGTGCCTCAATCAGTGGCGGAGGCACACTTTTAGCTAAGAGGTTAAAAAAAGAAGAAGTTAAAAATGATTGTAGTTAGTGGAAATTATATTGAAATTATGACCTTACAAAGGTTTTGAACCCCCTGATTACTAAGCTATGCTTTTGGATTGTGTCAATGTGATTCAAAACTTAATAGTATATGGAGTTAAAAAATAGATTTTGTCTTATATATATAGCGTAATTTTTCGACGAACGGGATTGTGGTGAACCCGCTTCCGTCTCTCAATGTCCATTTTGCACCTTTGTTCATGTCTTCATTTATCATCAATTTGTAGTACTTCTCATTTTTATTTTAATATAATGTTAAACAGATGAAACTTTGACCAATAAGAATTCATATAAACGATCCAATTTACTTAAAACTGAGGGAATTATTGTTTGTTTGTTCTGCCTCCTCACCCCAATGGTCAGTGCTGTATGAACTATTTCAACTTTGTTTAATTAGCAATTAATGGATAACAAGGAAGGAACAAAAATTAGAAAGTTCAAAACTTCATCAGTTTACTTTTCATTCTTTTTAGAGGAAATTATTGAGGATTTGAACTGCTTTTATGAAGAATCTAAAGTCTTTGGAAACGTGACTAGGTCAGACGAGGATGGATGGCTTTGGTGGTCAGTATGCGAATATTACATTTTCTTCTGATATAAATAACCTCATTTCTTTTTATTCCTTGCTTTTTTCCTGAAAAAGAAAAGTGAGGATTAAGAATAAAAAATATGGCGCTTTTGTCTTTCCCCCTCCCTCCAAAAATAAGGTTTTTCCTCTCGATTTTTATGCTGAACTTTTGAATAACAACAACAACAGGTCGATGTAATTTTGAATAACAACAACATACCTAGTATTAAGGTCGATGTAACCTTAATAACTGGATCAGTTATTCAGTGGTGCGCCTCCCTCAAGATGATGGCTTTGGAAAGATATTTTATCGCACATGATATTTGTAGTAAATTAATCAATTTAACATTATCTAATTTACAATTTAGAGTAAAAATTGATATCGCTTAATCGAGAATTAACAAACTCTTCTCATGACTAGATTGGTGCACGAAGCTTTCGTTTCATTTTCGTGTTCCTCTTTAAAAAAAGAAAAAAATAAAAATTTCGTGACGTGTCAAGAAACTTGCGACACTAATTTCAGGACGTGCCAATAAACTTTCGGTTCCAGAACCAAAATATGGTTCTTTTGGACTCAAAGAACCAAAATATGTGGGAAAAAAAACTGGTAACCATAATATGTATAGCACGGTAACCGCGCTATACCTTAACGACACGTTTGACTGTTAAGATATGTATAGTGCGGACAATTTTTTTTTCTCTTTAAATGAATTTAAAAATCATAATTTTTTAATAAATATGAAATTATTTTAATTACATTGAAAAGTAATTATAAATACTTGAACCAAATAATGAAAAGAAATAGGAAAACAAAATATTGTTGGGGGAAGGAATTGAACCTTTGACCTCAAGCCAAAACCAACTTTACATAAAACTTCTAACCATTGCACTACCAAACGTCCTGCTTCTCTTTTAGTATATTAAATTCATTTTATCAGCGTTTCCCATAAAGAAGAAAGAGGGACATGAAAGGGACGTAGGGCATTAAAAAGTTGCGTTATACATCGTGGGAGTATAGTGCGCTATACTATTTCGCGCTTATTTTAGTTCAAGTATAGCGCAGTTATTTACCGCACTATACCTTAACAGTCAAATATGCCGTTAAGGTATAGCGCGATAAATAAACGCGCTATACATATTATGGTTATCAATTTTTTTCCCACATATTTTGATTCTTTAAGTCCAAAAGAACCATATTTTGGTTGTGGACTCATACAGAAGTATCCACTGACAAGTGGCAAGAGCAGGACTCATGTGGTAGGTGGCTTTCCTGGAGGAGAAGATCACATAATTCGTGCTAAAAGTTCTCAAATTATATAGTATATATTATGTTTATAATCTCTACCCTATGGTAGGGGTAAGGTAGGGGTAAGGTCTGCATACAAACTACCCTTCCCAGACCCTACTAGTGGGATTATACTGGGTTGTTGTTGTATATTATGTTTATAGTATCCGTTACTCAAAATTCCTCTTGCAAAAGTGACATAATTCATAAAGATTCCGTATGATCTAAAATCAATCGAGCACAAATTTTCTGATTAAAAGAAAATTCGAATCACATATTACAAATCTGGGATTCTTCACGTGATGGAAGACAGGTCATAGTTGATATTAGCTGAAACCGGATTAGTCAATGCCATAAACAGTAACCCCAAATTAAAAGTCAACCATTATTGCTGCTCTAAGTTGAAAGATAATAATTAGTCTCCTCTTCCCAAGAACCGAAAGGGTTGAAAACTATGCACATAGTATTAGGTTTCTCCTCCTAATAACTTCGCTGTTCAAAAGATGCAAAACTTACTCATAAAGATCCTAGCGTAGGACAACAAAAGAAATGGATTTTGTTGAGGAAGCAACAGACCCAAGAAAGAATCAAAACTCTTGATCCATTCAAAATTAACCACTAAGAAAAGAAGTCGTAGACCCATAAAACTCCAAAGCAATTATGCAGCTTCTACAATGTACATTGTGTTGGCACTTTCACAGCTGCGCCTTCAGTTAAATTGAGCTCTAAAAAAATGCTCTCATTATGATGCAGCATCAGGATTTGGACTCCTAACTTTATAGATTACCATTACCCGATATTACAAAGCAAGTCATGAGCTAAAGATTTCCTGGTGGATGCCTGTACATTAAGGGCTCGTTTGGTACGAAGGATAAGGAATAATTAATCCCGGGACTAAATTTAAGAAGAGCTTATCCCATGTTTGGTTGGGATAAAATTACGGTATAAGTAATCCGCGGATTAGTTATCCCGGAATTGTAGTATTTTTTTATCCCCATGGAAAGATGGAATAACTAATCCCGGGATAATTAATCCTGGGATAACTTTTTTACATCCAAACAACCCCTAAATATTTCCTTCCACTACATTTTTGTGCTCGTTCAACCTCTCCCTTTTCCTCCTGCTTCTCACATTTCCATCACCATTCTTGCTTTCCTGCACTTGAACTTTCACATTCACTCAGAAAGAGAGAGAAAGGGGGGGGGGGGGGGGGGGGGGGGGGGTAGAGAGAGGGAGAGAGAGAATAATAGTACAGTTTATTACACCAATTCAGATAATTCAATGGCCTGGCAAAGGGGATGAAAGCAATTTTCACTTGTGGTTATCACATATCGCCGCATTTTTCCTTCATTTAGTAGTATATCCTTACTAGTACTAATCTACACCTTATAACTTCTGATAATTAAATCCAACCTCATGTTCTCAGTATATCCCCTGAGAAGGAGTTACAAAACCCAAGGTGCTTCTACACTTCTTTCTATAATGAGCTGTTTTAAGAAACCCTGGATTATGCTTCAGAGTTAAACCAGATTTCCGCCCGAGAGAATTACCCCACCCAACTCAATTGGTTAATTCCATCCAAACTTGAAGAAAAAAAAATAACATTGTCATAATTTACTAGACTTGTGAAGGTATTATGCTCAATCAACTTAGCTTCAAGCCCAAACTAGTTTGAGTCGGCTATATCTCTGTCTATTCAGGCTCATTTTATTCCAATACAAAATAATTTGTCTTTTAAGTCAAATTAGAGTTTCTCCAAAACTAGATATTCTTTAAACATCGCATTTATCAACACCAACGCACAAGTCTCCAACAGACTAAAACCATTCTTCGCAAACAACGAATATAATGTAACTGCAACACAATGTGTAAGGTTCAACCCCAACTGGTTGGTACTGGCTACATGGACTTTTTGCTTTTTATGCATATTGCTCTAAGCTAAGCACTTATTAAGTTCTAGAGGTTGTAAGCAATGTCTGAAAATAGAACATCGGGACTCGCCTAGGGGTTAGACAACCTCTAAACACCTCGAGGCAACCTTAGGGCCTAAGATCTAGTCTTTTCTTAAGGACGGTGGTGTTCGGGCCAGCTTGCGCACACTTTGACTATCTTTGTTTTTTTTATATAAGATCAGGTTTACACCTCGACTATCTTAATTTGAAGAAAGTTATCCGTCATATTGTTAACAAAACCTCATTTTTATACATTAGTAAAAATCTACTATGACCAAGCAATTTTACATTTTCCTGATACTTTAGAGGAAGAGTGGAAGACTAATTCTATGTTTTCGCTAAAAACATGGAAATCGATCAGAACTAATCAGGTCAAAAAATTTGGACAGTGCATACCGTTTCCCCAGGGATATTTATAGAGGCCGCTATAGTTTTGACCAAGTGAAGAATACAAGAGCCTTGGACAAAATTTACGAGGTGTTGCACGTAGAAATTCTTTTTTCTCTCTTTAACAAAGAGGTGATCAGACAGGCAGAAAAAAAAAACGAATTCCATTCATCTCTAAATGAATATGTTACCCCAGCCTGTTTCTATAACTTAAGAAACTGAATCTCACCTTTCCCGATGTAGTAACATGTGTAACCACAGATTTCTTTTTCTTCTTGTCGATAGTGGATTTGGACCCTGTGAAAGGCAATGCATAAACCACAGTCTTTCAGGGACAACAATATTTCAACAGAGCGAGAGAAAAAAGAAGTTATATTTGTAAGCGCCAGCGAAAATACGACAGTATTATGAACCCCAACCTTAGCTTTAATTCTCTTGAAGCGAACAATATCCTTGACATCACTTCCAGTCCTCTTAGCATTTGTCTTGATAGTTGATAGTCTGAACTGCTGGAAAATTGTCTACCTCTTCCTCTGGTGCATCCAAAGAAACCCCTTGTTCATCATCAGACAATCTCCTCTTTTTCCTAAGTCTAAGCATATTGTACTCCAGGTCAGTCATATGAAGGCGTTCTTCTTCAGCAGATTTGGCAAATTGACGTTGAAATGATGATGGTTGTTCTAGAAAAAATGCATTCCTAAGAGCATAAATTACAGGCACACCACGTATCTACCCCAGTTCAGGAGAAAGGGGAAACAAAGGTCAGAAAAAAAAAGGAGAAAGCCAGTTGGTATATACATAATATAATGTTCTAAATGGTGGAGATTTTTTCCTTTCTTTTCAATGGAAGAGGCATACATACAAGATAGCTTTTGGTCACTCTTTCACGTTTCATAAGGTACCATACAGATTACCAAAGAATTTGGAATTGCTAAGGTTACTCCTCACAAGACCAAAATATTTTACAGTTTTATCATCTTAGTCCTACATGCTAGGCGAGATAAGATCAACTGGTAGACCATGACATAGTTCTGCAGATGCCAAAGATTATCTTGTTTCTTACACTTCCCACTTAGATTGTTAAATATCTTGCGACTACTGACAAGTCAGAGATTGAAAATTTAGCACTTTGAAATGGACTAAACAAGTAGATGTGGAAGATCTTTCTGAGAAGACATCCTAGAATGTGACGGAATTTTTCCAGTTTTGTAATAACTGAAATGTCTGATATCACAATATGGGACATTATCAATATCATCTCCGAGCAAAAGTGAGTCCAAATACCTTTTTCTCCGCAAAACAGCATCTTGAGTAGCGACAAAAAAGTGTTCAGAATTGTTCTCTCCAATAACTTCAGTTATGCAAGCTACAGCACTTTTCCGCTTCTCATGGTCACATCTGCAATAAAGTCAGATCCCGAATAAGTTGCATAACTCAAAAGAATGTCCTGAGAACTTAAGCAACACACATACTGGTTGCTACTCAAGAAGAAGAGACGAAATGGCTAACCGTGCAGTAATAAGGTTATTAGCTACATTCAGTGATTCACGATAGCAACCACCGAGGCTCTTCAACTCTGCAAGAACACATCTACAAGCAGAGGTGGATTCAAGATTTAAATTCTATGGGTTCAACTTTTAAGGCGTTTAGCATTGAATCCATTATGTTTTTACAGCTATGGGTTCATATAGAATATTTGTTTCAATTTTAGTGAATTTTTACTGTTGAGTATTGAAGTTTTGATGATTAACAAAGTGTGACTACTTGCTCAAATAACAAGATCATCAATGTAACTGCTTAGCTGTTGTGATAAACCAGCTCCTCAGGTTAAAGGATCAGCTTCTCATGGTTGATACTTGTACATATGAACAAGACAGTAACTTTATCTCAAAGTTACCCAAGTCCGAGTTTGGTGGAAGATGGCTGCTATATGTGATAAGGGTCGTTGCTCAAGAAGATACGGATAAGTCAGTCGGAGATAAAAGTCCCAAAACTTGTGGAATCCTTGGAACAGTAGGAGTCCTATCAAAGAGGAAGCTGACTATGAATAGGACTCCTAGAAGATCTCAGGTCGTGTTTAAATAGGATTGACTTTGGACTTCTGAACTATCCTTTTACACATCAACTAAAGTGTCATAAATTGTCTTTATTTGTGTTGAGTACTTGCTTTGTATTCTTCCGAGTCAATCTAGTAAATGTGTTTTGGGAAATTGAGTTGTAATCAAACGTCATAAACAGTTAGTGAGTTGGAGTGAGTATTTTGCTTTACAAGTTAGAGTAACTTGTGAATCAAATAGGAGTAGGAGTAGTGGAGAGTATTGAATTACAGTCTTGTAATTGATACATTTTGGCTCATTGTTCTAGTGGAGTTGGAGTTGAAAATCCTACGCGGTAGGTCGTGATTTTTGAATCTTTTGAGCCAAGTGATTTTCCACGTAAAAATCAATGTGTTTATTGTATTGCTTACGCTTAAGGAACACGGTAAAGAACCAAGTTCTTTAGTAATCCACACGGGCACTCAAACTAACATTTACACACAAACAGATTTAGTTAAAGCAAAATATCTTTAGCTTAGCAAACAAAGTTAACTCAAAGAGACAAATGGAGCTGCTCAAAATTAACCTGGTAGTAAAAAGTTTAACTGTGACGCCTAGAATATTTGCCAATGCAATATTAGCAGGGGTAATGCGATTCACAACAAGATGATGCAAAAATGTTCCGTCACAAAGGATTTTAAATGGCTCTCTAAACCCAAAACAAGACGTGTAAAACCACACGGCTCTCCTCTGCTTTTTCACTCTCATCTGTAAGCATTCACGAGACTAAAATATTTTACAGATTTATCAACATTCTTCCGCGGCGTTTCATTTAATGAAAGACACTGATAGAAACCAAAATTGCGTTTCAATTATCCATTTTTTAAAAGAAAGGGGCAAGTAATGGAAGTAAAGGTGTAGGGAAATTGAAGAGAAAAAAGGGAAAGAGAGAGAGAGAGAGAGATACAGATACGGAGGAAAGGGACTTACCGGAGAAGTAGCCGGAGCCCGGACGGTGTTGGATGATTGAAGAGCGGCGTCGCCGGCGACTGGTATGAGCCTTAGGACTTCTTTACGGATTGGGATTCGGCGGTGAATATGGAATTATGTACCAAAACCCAAAACTTCGGTGTGTATTTTTTTAAAAATTTGGTAATCATTATGGTATTGGGTATTAATAAGAAAAAAGACCGAAAATATAAAATACTGCAAAACAATACTTAATTACATATGTATTATATTATTATATAGATAATGTATTTATTAATTTGAATATAAACTAATAAAAGAGCTAAAATTCTAGAATCCTTCGTACACAAAATCCTATAACCTTTTGTAACGACCCGACCTGTCATTTTAAGAATTTAAGTCTCGTTCGGCGGCATAAGGCCCGGAGCAACTTCGTATTACGCGTATTGATTTGCGTGCGTGGTTGAATTCAGTTACCGGATGATTCAGAGTGATTTGGGATACTTGGTCCCTAACAAGAAAGCTTAAGTCTTAGGATTTTGGCCGTAGTCGGAACTGTGTGAAGACGACTCCGGAATAGAGTTATGTTAGTTCCGTTAGCTCCGTATGATGATTTTGCACTTAAGAGCGTGTCCGAAAAATTATTTGGAGGTCTGTAGTGGAATTAAGCTCGAAATGGCGAAACTCAAAATTTTGAAAAGTTTAACTAGGGGGTTGACTTTTTGATATCGGGGTCGGAATCCGATTTTGAAAGTTGGAGTAGGTCTGTAATGTCGAATGTGACTTGTGTGCACAATTTGAGGTCAATAGGACGTGATTTGATAGGTTTCGGCATCGATGGTAGAAGTTGAAGTTTCAAAGTTCATTAAGTTTGAATTAGGGTGCGATTCATGATTTCGATGTTGTTTAATGTGATTTGAGGCTTAGAGTAGGTCCGTGTTATATTATGGGACAGGCTGATATGATTGGACGGGGTCCCGAAGGGCTCGGGTGTGTTTCGGGATGGTTTCGGACCAAATTGGAGCTGTTTGGACTGTTGTTGCTAAAGTCTGGTTTCCTTCTTCACGAACGCGAAGGGAGTCCCGCGTTCGCGAAGAAGAATTTGAGGGGCTGTTGGTTTGGCCTTCGCGAACGCGAAGCAGGGGACGCGAACGCGAAGAAGGAGTTGGTCAAGCCTTCGCGAACGCGGCCAAGGCAACGCGAACGCGAAGAAGAAAGGAAGAGTGTGGCCTGAGGTCGTTTGGCCTTCGCGAACGCGAAGGAGCTGGTCAGCTAGTCATCGTGAAAGCGACGAGGAGTTCGCGAACGCGAAGAGGAAATGATGGGGCAAAAATAGTTGGCCTTCGCGAACACGACGAGGAGGTCGCGAACGCGCTGAAGGATTTGAGGCAATTGGGTTTTGACCTTCGCGAACGCGAAGCAATGGTCGCGACCGCGAAGAAGGCCTATCTAGGCAGAATTAACAGTCTAAAAAATGGGGGTTTGAGTTCATAACTCAAAATCAAATCTGGAGCTCGGTAGAAGGCGATTTTTGGAGAGATTCTTGCGTGCGTATTTGGGGTAAGTGATTCTTATCCAGTTTTGATTAATTTTCATGATTATGCCTTTGAATCCATTATTTAATTCGGATTTAATAAAGGAAAAATCAAGATTTTTGTAAAATCTTCCAAAAACGAAAATTTAAGATTTGGAGGTCGAGTTGTTATTGTAATTCGATAAAATTAGTATGGTTGAACTCGTATCCGAATGGGTGTTCGGATTTCATAAAAATTATGTCGGGTTCTGAGAGGCGGGTCCCACGTTGACTTTTGTTGACTTTTTGGAATAAAATTTTAAGTCGACGTATTATTATCCGAAATTATTTTCGATGAATTTTAATGAAGTTGTACAATTAATTTGGATAGATTTGAGCTATCCAGAGGTCAATTCAAGCAAGAAGGCTATTTTGGAATATCAGCCTAACTTCAAAAAGGTAAGTGTCTTGCTTAACCTCGAGTGGGAAAATTACCCCTTAGGCATCGAGTCTTATGTGCCATTTGTGAAATATGAAAAGTCGTATACGCGAGGTGACGAGTACGTACTCGGGCTTATATGTGCAAATTTTATTGAGTTAGAGTCTTGGGCATATTGTGTAGTAAATTGAATAATTGTTGGCATTTATTTAGTCATCTGTCATACTTCAATTCGCATTTACTGAATTTGCTTTTATATGACGATTTGATGTGTATGTTACCTGTATATTTATGTGAATTCCGTGAGTTTGATATTCGTGGGATTTAATTTCATTATGAATTTTTCCTCTTCAAATAATTAATTAAATGAACTTAAGAAGAGGTGTTAATATAATTATCTAAATTTGGATTAATGAAAGTGTGCCCTATGTTGATTATTTTTCTATCTCTATTGATTGTTTTTGAGTGTTATATACATTGTGTGGAACCTTGGGCAATTTGTTGTAAAATGAATTGATTTTATTATATTGTCGTGTTAATTTTCCGTGTAAATTATTGTGTTGTCTGAGTTATTATTTTGGGAAGATAAGGGTGCCATTTCACCGTTGATATTATGTGGGTATAAGGGTGGCATTTCACTGTTGTTGTGTTTTTTGAAATATTGTCTGGGCAGAGCGATAAGGGTGGCTATAGGAGCGATAAGGGTGGCAATATGAACGATAAGGGTGATAATAGGAGAGATAAGGGTGGCTATTTATTTTGTCTGGGCGGAGCGATAAAGGTGGCTATATGAGTGATAAGTGTGGCAATATGAGCGATAAGGGTGGCTATTGTCAGGGACGATATGTGATGATGTGGGGTAGTGGTGTTGATATTTTTCATGTGATGTTGTGATTTTCTTGTGTTTATTTTTATACCTTGTGCAACTTGTCTTGTTGTTGGTAAATTGATAACAATCTGATTTTTGTTGAAATTGAGAGCCAACGGCTATTGCCAGGCGGATTATAAAATAAAATGTGGGCACGAGGTGCCGTGAGTAAATAATGAGAATACTTGGTACGTGAATTGTCCGTGCAATTGTGATATGAAATGTGGGCACGAGGTGCTGTGATGAAATGATAATGATAATTGGCACGTGAATTGTCCGTGTTGTTGTGATATGAAATGAGGGCATGAGGTGACGGAAAAATATGATGATTTAATTATGGGCACGAGGTGCCGTGGAAATATGAAAATGGGCTGAGACCCATGTTTACGAAAACTATAAAAATGGGCCGAGTCCCATATTTTTATGATTATGAAATGAGGTCTCACATGGTGACTTTTTTATTTGAAAGAATTATATTCAAAATATTTATTTGGAAGGATTTTTACTTAGAAAGTAGTATAGGAAAGAATTGTATTGGAAAGATATTTATTTGAGGAAATTATATGTAACGACCCGACTTGTCGTTTTAAGAATTTAGGCTCCGTTGAGTGACATAATGTCTCGAGCAGTTTCGCAATATGCATTTATGACCCGCGGGTATGGTCGAGTTTGATTTACTGAAGATTCAGAATTAAATTAAAAAGAACAATCCTTAATTTGAAGCTTAAATGGAAAGAGTTGATCGGAGAGTTGACTTTTCAGCAAACGACTCTAGAATAGAATTTTGATGATGTTAATAGCTCCGTATGGTGATTTTGGACTTAGGAGCGTGTACAAAAAATTATTTGGAGGTCCGTAGTGGAATTAAGCTTGAAATGCCGAAAGTTGAATTTTTGAGAAGTTTAACCGGAGAGCTGACTTTTGAGCAAACGACCCCGGAATAGAATTTCGAGGATGGAAATAGCTTCATATGATAATTTCGGACTTAGGCGTATGTTCGGATTTTGATTTGGAAGTCCGTAGGACAATTCGACACATTTTAGCGAAAGTTAGAAAATATAAGATTTTGAAAAAGTTCGACCGAAAGGTAAATTTTTGATAATGAGGTCGGATTTCAATTACGGAAATGGGAATAGCTCCAGTAAGTCAATTATGACTTGTGTGCAAAATTTGAAGTCATTCCGGATTGATTTGATACGTTTCAGCGCAAAATATAGAAGTTGAAAGATTTGAAAACTTATAATTCGATTCGATGCGCGATTCCTAATTTCGGCGTTGTTTGACATGGTTTGAAGCCTCGACTAAGTTCGTATTGTATTTTGGGACGTGTTGGTATATTTGGTTGAGGTTCTGAGGGCCTCGGGTTGATTTCGGAAGGTTAACGGATCAATTCGGATATGAAGATAAGCTGCTGGAATTTTCTGGGCAGCAACATGAACAGTGATTCGTAGAAGCGTGAACAGTAACCGCAGGTGCGTGAACAGTAATCGCAGGTGCGAATCTGGGCAGAATGTTAAGGACCAAAAATTGGTCATTTTGCCATTTTCGTTTTTGGATTTTTGGAGCTCGGATTTGGGCGATTCTAGAGGGATTTTTCACAAGCTTGGTTGGGGTAAGTGTTCTATATCCTAAAGTGTTTATATTTCATGAATCCATGATTATATTCATCATTTAATTCAGATTTAAATGGAAGAAATCAAGTTTTTTATAAAATCTTTCAAAAACGAAAATTTAAGATTTGGAGGTCGAGTTGTTATCGGAATTTGATAAAATTAGTATGGTTGAACTCGTATCGGAATGGGTGTTCGGATGTCATGAAAATTATGTCGGGTTTCGAGGGCGGACCCCATGTTGACTTTTGTTGACTTTTTGGAATAAATTTTTAAGTTGACGCATTATTATCGGGAATTGTTTCTGATGAATTTTAATGAAGTTATACAATTAATTTGGTTAGATTTGAGCGGTCCGGAGGTCAATTCAAGCAAGAAGACGATTTTGGAATATCGGCATAATTTCAAAAAGGTAAGTGTCTTGCTTCCACTTGTGGGATTACACTGGGTTGTTGTTGTTGTTGTTGTTGTTGTAAGTGTCTTGCTTAACCTCGAGTGGGTGAATTTTTCCTTAGGCATTTATTCTTATGTGTAATTGAAAACCATGTACGCGAGATGACGAGTACGTACTTGGTTTATATGTGCAAATTTTATTGAGTTAAAGTCTTGAACATATTGTGTAGTAAATTGAATAATTGTTGGCATATGTTTAATCATCTATTTGTCGTACCTAAATCCTTGTTGTTGAATCTATTGTTATATGACAATTTGATGTGATTTTTATT